CAGTGCTGAAGTGAAAGGAAATATCTTTCAAAAATTTTTGAAAAAAAACATTTCTTAGAGGGCGCTTATTTACAGTCTAAAACGTATTTTAGGAATTTTTTCATTAAATTCCTCTTTAAACTTCATGAAATAATACAATTTTGTACAAATAATTGAATGTTATGCTACTATTTATAAAAATAAAATCAGAAATCCATTAAAAGATAAGTTCTCTATCATTTTTTAAATTCACAAATGATTTTGCCCTCACACTTGCATTGCCTAATAAGAGAGTTAGTAGCCGGTAGTCATCGGGTTAAAGTGATTACAGATTCCAATCTAGACTCCATAGGTCCAAAAATGAGTCCATCCATTGAAAATCGAAATACACCTCCTGGCAGTGATAAGCCAAAGCATGCTCTTCTGATAAACGTGGAGGACAAGGCATAGCTATCCTGTCATGTAACTGAGTGGCAAATCTCCCAGCAGGAACAGAAATATTAGGAGAAGGAGGAAAAACCAAGTAGTCACTTGCCATCCTTTCTGCTAATGCAATAGGAGAGACCACAAAAACTTCACAAACCCAAATAACCAAAAGAAGAAAAGGGTCTGGAGGTGGCTAATCAAAATGATCCTGTTGAGGCCGACCTAGTAAAAGAAGGAGCTGAAAAAGAGTCTAAATTCTCCCCAGCTGGTCCCCCGGAGAGATACCCTCGGTCCACACATGTCTCCATCTCATAACGAATCATACTATGGGCAGCTTTGACTGAGAGTGACCCCTCCCCTGGCCATTGAAAAACACCAGATAGCAGAGGTGGAACGGAAGAAGTCTGGTTGGCCTCCGTAATAGAAGCGTTAACTTGGGAATACATACCTGTCATTACATTTTTTGTTGTTGTTATTGTTAAAGTAATTTATAAATATTAAAGAAGATACAACCATAGTAACGCCAACCACATTCAAATTCGCAAAGTATGTTGTGAATAATCACAACACTCCTGTTTATAGAAACCCATGCCTAATACTCTGTCATGAAAAAGTAATTGCATTATTTGAATGAGGTGCTCATATACAGTACCTATATAGAGGGTGCATTGAAGTTGTGGGAGAATTTTGCAAGTTTGAATTTGCCAAGAGCATTTGAGTGGGGTATAAAAGACTGGAGCAAGCGTTTTCAATGCTTAGATGAGCATAGAATAGAAACCCTGAAGATTGAGAAATAGTTATAGTGTCAGCATAGGTAAGCATGTTTTGGAAGAAAGGGATCTTGATGTAATAGTTGATCAGTCTCTAAAACAATACAAGCAGTGTGTTATTGCTAGTGGTAGGACAAATAGGATTTTTGGTTGTATCTACAGAAACACTGAACAGAAGTCTAATAAGGTTATAATTTCATTGTATAGGTCAATGGTTAGGCCACATTTGGAATACTGTATTCAGTCTTGAGCCCCTTGTCTTAAGAAAGGCATTAAATTGTTGGAAAAGGTTCAGAGAAGAGTTACTAGAATGGTGCCTGAGATGGAGGGGTTGTCATACGAGGAGAGGTTGAAATCTCTCATATTATTTTCTCTTGGAAAAAAGAAGAGTTAGGGGAGGAGCTGATTGAGGTGTTTAAGATTGTAAATGGAACTGGTAGTGTTGATGCATCATCTTTTTTCATACTTAACAGTGAGAATAGTAGGACTATGGGACACAAATATAAATCTTGGCAGGGTAGGAGTCATTTTCAACTAAGACAGTTATATTTTTCTAACAGGAATGGGTTGCCTTCAGATGTTGTGGAAGCAGTAAATATAAGTGAGTTTAAGAGAAAGTTTGATAAGTATATGAATGATAAGGGCTGGCTTCAAAATTGTTTTAAAATTTATTTATTAATAGTTTAGTTTAGATGATGGAACAGCTAAAATGGACCAATAGGTCCCATGTTGTCCAAAAATGTTATGTTCACTCACATAGAGCTTGTACATTATGTAATTTGATATGGTAAAGTGAACCACACATTCACCAAGTGACTTACACCTTTCATAACAGGATTATTACTTATACACAGTTCAAAGAACAATAAATTTAAGTAGGAACAGGTGTATAGTGTTATGAGCTTTAAGCTATTTAGGATAAACAAGTGTAGTTTCTTGTTACAATTTGTGTTATTCTAGAAAAAAAAGAGAGCAATTTAAATTTATTTTCTATTTTTATGGTGGTAACAAGGATTGTCAAATTCACCAAATGCATATAGTCAGAGTAGAGAAAATAACAGATAAAAATATAAAGTTTTACTGAAAAAAAGTGATATTAATTTAGTTTTTAGAGATTACACAAATTAAATTTAACAATTTTCAGATGAAGAAGAGTATTTTTAATCTTAGCATAAAAATCACTTTGCACTCAGAGCAGTCAACACTACTTCCATGTATCTACAGAGAAATTTTTAGTAAAAATGATTAAAACTCTGATGTCTTTTGTGCACAAAAGACATGTAATGCTAACTGAAAATGTGAAATAGATGGAACATATTAAAAGTTATAGTATGGAAACTATAATGGTCATTTAGGGGTCATGATCTCAGTCTAATTGTCTAAGCCCATAGCATGAGAGTTACTTGAAACATACCAGCTTCTCTGTTAAGAGTTCCACAAATCTTTGTTATTTATAATTTTATGCAATTAAAGTTTAGCAATTTCCATGTCATTGAGATTCATGTTTCCTCTCCCAAGACATTTTCAATACTTACATTTAACCCACTTGCATTTATTTCTTTTCTAAGCTCTTTTCCACATTCCATCCCTATTTTTTGTTGTTTTCACTATCACGTGGTAAAAATGTTTTGTGTGATTTATACACACCAAACTATTCATTACTACGACTTCAAGAAAGAACTGCAAATTTCTGCTCTTCCTTTTTATCACTATTTAACATATTCAACTGATGGGTATTTAATAACTGCAAAGCTTCCAGTTTATGAATGCTGAGTGTGTTTGTTTTGTTTATGGCAAAGCAGTTATGGCTATCTGCCACCATCTAACAGCTAGCAATATCCATTGTTGACTCTTGGACTACTCTTCTACCAATAAATAGTGAGATTAACATCAATAATCATGTTAATTGTGTGAGTGTTATTGATGTTAACAACTGTTCAAGTAATAAAGCATAATTGTGTTAAAATCACTGTTTAACTTCTTCATGCTAGCATCTGTAATGTTATATTTTTACAATGGTGGTACAATATGCATTAATTTTTTAAAAGTTAGCTGTGTGACACTATAACCAAATTTGTAGTATTTTTAACTTCAAAAAAAAAAAAGACTTCCACTTTAATAATCTGAAATTTCAGAGTAATAAATGTTGACCAAATTGTCCTAAAGTAACCTAAATAAAAGTCAAAAGTGAAATATCATTACTATATTTTCTGTAATATAAATGTTATTATTATTACAACTCTACCTTACAAAGTTTGAAACACAATAAGAAACAAGTAATAAGAAAACCTAGAGCCTACTATGATAACATTAGTTTTATTGTGGAGTACTGTTAAAACTGAGGGGCACGGTCTAATGAAAGGCTAAAATTATCTATATTGTCTAATTTGCTTCTTGTTACCAAACTCTTATGACTTTTAAATGCATACTCATTCAGGGTTTTTTGTTGTTTTTTAAGAGGATGCTTGAAATGGTGGAACAATTTTTTACATTGAATTACATAACATTTGATAATTAAATTTTCAATCATTAACACCATTTGGTATGAGTTCATACTAACCACATGCTTGTATTCTAGGGTTAGTGCTTTTATTTTTGTGTTTTACTAACATTTCTTCCATAAACACTCAAAGTATCAGAACTGACATAGATTATGGCCTTAACCTTCTTGTTACTTCTAACTTGAAAACTACTCAAATATTAAAAACTTAATAGCTTTACTGCTTTTGCTTCTAACTTTTGTGACATAATTTGATAATTTTCTCACTTGTAGTTGATCTTCCATATTTTCTCACACAAAACCAAAAATACAAAAATTACACACATCAACAACATTCATTATTCTAGTGGTGGGAAATGATGCAACTGTATAAAATCACTTGCTATGGTGCAAATGCTTTATCCAATTTTTTTCTAGTATTTTATATACAAGTGAAAAACTAAATTACTAGACAATAAACTATTTTTATAAATGGTTCCAGCATGTTAAATTTGTTCAAATGCCATTAGCAAATATTACAGTTTTCACAAATATGAATGGTTAAGGTTTTTGTGGTTCATTTTCAACAAACACAATTACATGACTTTCAATAAAAACTTCCTCAAACAGATTTCATGATGTTATTTAAAACTACCCAAACCTTAGATTCAATTTCTTCACATGATCACTTCTACTTTCCTTCCAATAATATTTTAGTCATTATCTGCAATTTCAATTAATTTATGTTTACTAATCTACAATTTTTATAACACATCTTTTTACTTTGTCCTTGACTAAGGTGTCTTGTAGCTAAAGCTCAGTCAATTTTTTAATTTATATTTCTTTTTTTTTATTATTTATGGTTTACATTTAGGTGATGTTCATTATTTTTTGTTCAAACAGTGTCATTCACATTTTAAGACTCTGCACTCTTTTTCTTGCTTCAGATAATTTCCTATTTATTTTATTTTTAACTATCTTGTATTTCTAAAGTCATTTTCTTTAACATTCTAACAAACAAATTAAAATACTGTTTTTGTTTTGCGAAGATACTGTTTAGTTATAAAACTTCAACCTACATTGAACCTCTGGTTACATAAATTGAAATATATGTATGAGGATAGATGGCATTGTTTGTACTTGGTGCATCCAAAATTGTTCTGATTTAAGTCTAAGACAAACTAATAAATTAAAAAAACAAATAACCTAAAAACACTTTCCTGCTTAAATTTATGCAGCAATAAAACTGATGAGCTGAATCTACCTTTGTAGAATTTCCATGATGAAGCATCTTTTTTAAAATGCGTTTGATACTGTGATATTGCCATTTCTTATGCAATAGTTCAGGAAGCAGAAGTAGGATTTTCTGAAATTTTGAAATAAATATTTCAATTAACATTTTACAGTTGTGATTTAGGCTTCATGCTGGATGTAAGACATTATCTCATTAACCAGATCAATAAATGAATTTTTTTCAAAAGGCACATAATTTGTAATATAAACATATGTATGAAATGTGCATTCAAACTTAGTATTGGTATACCAAAATCACGCTTTCAATGCAAACTTTTCAAATTGAAATGCTTCAAATTATACTTTGTATACTGCATCTAAGAAAAATCAATTATTTCAATTTCCTACACACATTTTTGTGAATTTCAAAAAAGTTCAAGACATCTTCAAATTCTACCCATAAAAAAATTATATAAACATAAAATAAAAATGAACATGATTCATGGAAATGATTTACTTTATACATTAGAAATCAAGTTTCATGCAGATTGATTTGATTATCTCATATGTTTAGACAACCTTGACTTACAACACTGTACAAAAACATCAAACAAAAAATGTAAATACACTGTTTATTACGACTATAAATTAAATATACTTAAGAGAGAAATCTGTTATACTTTTATTTTATATTCTCAATATACTTGTTTTTTATCACAAACTAAAAATTATGTGAAATTAAAATATTACCTCAAAGACAAAGCGGACTGATTCCAATTCTTCACGATGAGCCTTGTGAACTAGTAAAATAATGGAATAAAATAAATTACAAAACAAGACAAGTGTATTCAGTCACATACAGATCTACAAACTTCAAAATGGACTACAAACTGGCTGTCAAGTACATTGTGGTTAATACATACAGGAAATACATCTACTTATAGGAAACTGAGAGTCAAAATATAACAAAATTACTTTAAACTGAAAAATATGAATATGCATTGAAATAGTCATTTTTTAGGAATTTTTCATTACAAAACAAAATTATTTCACATAAATAGATACGTTATTAATAAATTAGGGCTTGTGCACAAAACATATTCTAGATTGAAATAATTTATTTGTTTTGCATTATATTTATTTTAACCTGACAAAGGTGAAGTTTTTAATCTACACATTTTATAACACAAGATAAATAATTGTGAATAAATGACTATGTTGATTTTTAAGTCTTGCTCTAAGTATGTAGTTTGCTTTGATCAGAAATTAACTGTTAATAAACTTTAGCTTTAATTTCTTTCTATAAATTTTTACAAGACAAAATAGTAAATACAGGAAAATTCAACCAGAATAAGTAGAAATTAATGCAGTTTTGCAAGAGAATTATCAAAAACATAACAGTTTTGCAATTTTCTTATTCTAAATATTTGACAAAAAATTTGTGTATTTCTTTCTGTCATGGAGTTTTCCATGAACATTTCTACAAATTATGCAGGTATATTTTAAAATTGAGTATTATGTGACATTCACAGAAGTTGCATACCCCCCCTCCCAACACGGAGGCAAGCTACTTCACATGAGGTAGAAGAGAGTTCATTTGCAAATATTACAAGTAGCCCTCTAATTGTATACTGCTCTTCTAATTCCCTATTATCTTAGCTATACCTTATGATATTTACTTAAACTTTATCTCAGGCAACTAGTAAAAAACCAAATAGCAAATTTTTTGAAACATTTATTCAAAACTATCATTTCAAGCACTGAATAAATCACTTAGAAAAGAGCATTTTTTACAAGCACAATGAATTTCATGTCTGCAAAAACAATGTGATATTTACAACCAATTAAGTATTGCCAATCAAATCAATATGCCTATAACTTAGAATACCAGTGATGCACAGCTGGATTAACACAAAACTATCTGCTAAAAGTGAACATATTATCCAAGGTAAGAAACAACTTTTTTCAATGTCTGATTGGACATGTAATAGTTTGTACTAATTTCCAAAATCAGAATTTTCACTTTTACTGGACAATCATGCAACCAAGCACTGAAAATACCATAGAGATATTTACTAGCTTCAAGATCTAGATGTTCACTACATGAGAACTGGAAAAAAAGAAAAACCATAGTGAAGAAAAATTTACATAATTATGAACTATCTAACTAAACATAGTCATAATTTGCAATAAGAATATCATAAAAGTAAATTATACAAGCATCTGCAAATTTGTAGTAAATGTTTCTTTAAACTTGTTTTTCCCAACTTTTTATGTAATAAGCAATTCAAATGTTACTATGGGACAATATTAGTATATAGATGAAAAAAACTAGACTATTACAAAGTTATGTACTTAGAACATTGAATGAATTAAAATGCATAATCAGTATTTTCCAAACAAATATCATAAGTATTAGCATGTATTCAGACTTCTTGATTTAATAATTGGCCATTAACCTCATTCTCTTACAGGAAGGATAGCTCACCATGTCTCAAAATAAAGTTATCTTTTCTGTTGGTGAGCAGAGACTGTTATTTTGTTTTAACTTATGGTTTAGCTTCATTTTATTTTACCTTAAAGGGGAGGTCACACTAGACTAGAGAGAGAGAGAGCTCATTAAGGTTTCACTTCATCTCTCTCTCTCTCTCTCTTTTGCCAGTCCAACACACTCATTATAAACACAAATGCTCTTGCTTTGTTTAAGTATAACATGTTTGTCTCAGTCTTTTCTTTTTATTAAAAATTGTAGTCTAAAATTGTCTTTTGACACTTTAAGATGATCTCAGTCAGAATTCACTGAATAATGGACTTGGTTACTTGATATCTGTCAAACTTCCAGTTAGTGGACCCTACTATTGCTTTGCAAGTGCTAAGAATCAACTATTCAAAATTAGGGTTTTTGATTATTTACTGTTTGATTATTTTGACTATCCAAAAATCTGAAATATTACCATTATGTTTGTTATTAAGCACAAACCTACATAATGAACAGGTGGGAGGAATGCTTCATTTTTTGAGTGTTTGGTAATGCTTCCCATTGCCACTAAATTTACTATTCCTGTCTTTATTATTGCAAAGCTACTACGGTTATCTGCCATTGTCACTAATTTTGAGCTGCTGACTACTCTCTGGTAACTTAAGTATTAAATAAAGTGTAAATTTATTATCTTTTACATTGTATCATATTTTTATCTTATAACCATGTAACCTTATTATTTAATGTTTTATAAGTAGGTGCAGATCTGGGGGTAGGGGTCCAGGGAGTCCATACATCATCCACTTTTGTTCTAAAAATCAACAACTTTGTTCTTGAATATTGTACAAGCAGGCACACTTTTAGTGGAGGGTACAGGGAAGCAAACCTCCACATTTTTTATCAGAAATTAGTAACTATATTATTCAATGTTATATAATCAGGTACGGGATTAGAGGAGGGGTCCAAGGTAAATCAAAAACCCCACCTCTAACCTCCTATTTTTCCAGAAATTATTATTTACTGTTGTACAAGTACGCACACATATTGAGGAAAAAATACCCTTACTTTTTAGCAGAAATCAGTAAAAAACAGTCAATAGTACCAAAGAAAAACATCAGATGTCAGTGTTTTTATTAATTACTGTAAAGCTTTTTTCAATTTTTCTGAAGTCAAAACATCTGGAGTCTACAGCAATCCTGTTACAGCCTCAGCAATTAACTGATTATTTCAAAATGAACACTGTAATATAAACATCAATTAAATGCTGCCATGGAAAAATTTTGCACCTTAGTTTTAGCTCTAGACTTTAGAGATTTGTTTCATCTAAGTTAAAGTTAGCATTGCTTAGGATAGCAGCAGCTCCTATAACATATACTTGTTAATCAATTTTTTCATTGTTTGAAAGTTATAACACTCACAAGAAAGATGTTTCTTGTTGTTGAAATCCAAAATAAGGAAAAATGCAAGTGCTATGACTGTAAGTGAAGACTTAAAAAAACTAAAACAAGCATCCTATTTATGAACACTAAAATTTATAATTTTTTAAATATAATTATAACTATTTAATTTTAGTTATAAAATTTTTGCCTTTAACCATTTATATTTTCCTATAAATCACATTATAATTAAAAATATAAGCTCTGAAATTGTTGGATTAAAGCCCTACTAAGCTACTAATGATTTTGTAGACTTTCTAACTGATCTTATTACTGAAGTTGCTATTAATCTGTAGTCGTAAGTAAACTAAAACAACAACAAAAGTAATATAAATTTATTAGTAATGCTGGTAGAGGTGGAGTTTCAACCTCCTCCCCTTACATCCTGAATCAACCCAGTTTTGAGTAACAGTTTCTCAAGTATGGTGCTCTAGTAACAGTTAACATAATTTGAAATACCCATGAAACATATTAGAAAAATGTTTAACTTAAGTACTCTATCTACTGAGCTTTGACATTCTCTATTTTTTTTTTTAAGAACATCAGCATTGTTTGTCAAATATCATATACTAAATTTTGTAAATGTTTTGAAAAATAATTTTATTTCTAATAATCAAAGCAGTATTTAACTAACTTACATATGATGTAGGCCTATAGTTGTAATTAGTTTTAATATTTTATTACACATGATGTTGTCCTATAGCTTAAATTAGTTGTTGTTTCTTTAATATTAACTAGCAGAGACCCGCAAAACATTTCCGGTTAAATTAGTATCTTTATCGTAACAGCACTTCTTTAAATATAACATTTCTAGTACAATACAAACGAGTTGTAATCGTAGACAACAAAATGTGTAAATCCACTTGTATATAGGCAGTACTTTATAAAACTTTAACTTAAGTTAGGCCTAAGTTCGAAAAAGAGATAAAATAACCCCGGAACCTGGGTTCCTTTTTTTACTTTAGTTTAGTTAGGACTAAACTTTATTATACTTAATAGTATCGATAAATAAACTTATAATGTTATTCTACGACCTAATGTCAAACCTTTTTTAAAACTTTGATAAGTTTTAATATTCTGTTGTACAAAATGGTTAATAAAGTATATTTACATTCCCCTTTTGTTATTTCTTGTTTCATACAGCAATTGTAGTGACTCGATCATTGAGCTTTGCAGCTCTCTGCCGCAGACTGTTTGTCATCGAGTGAATAATGCACATGCGCGTTTTTTTTTGGGGAAACATTCTAACTACGCATGCTTATGCAGCAGGTTATCGGTCAGAAAGTGTAACGGTCTAATATACACACAAGCAGAATAATAGCATAGATTATTAATGTTTTTAGGGTGATAAAATTTATTAGCTTTATAAAAAAATTGTTGTTTGAAACATTCACGAAGTAATATATTTATTTTCATCAACAAAAATTCAGTTGCTTTGTGGAAATATTTTGGGAGAAACCCACAGAATGTCATTTATCATAATATTTTCAGGTTGTTACAGGTTTTTGTATACTTTGCATATGTGATACATTTTCACATACAATAGTTTATGATAAACAAAGTAACTTGTTCCTAAATCATTGTACCTGAAGATAGGACTTCCCCCAGATTTTCATATGCTTCTGTCAAAAAATTTTTATGGCAATTTTCTATGGTAAACCAAAGTCTTTAAACAATTTTAATTTATATATATATCTTAGAATCAATAATTTGTCATATTCTGACACATATTTAGTCATTCATGAAAAAAGTTAATATTTTCATTTCTGCACAGCTGGAAAAAGTTGCCTGTAAACAAAATAATCTTCTTGTGATTTTTTTTTTAGAATTCTTCTGTCCATCCCAAATTGAAACCATTCTAACACACAGTTCCAACATACTAACAATTCTTTATATTAAAACTTCAGCATAGGCTTACCTCTCTGTTTGAGACTTCCCTCTACTGATATGAATACATCATAAAACGTGTAGTAGATATGGCTATAACTGTTCTCAAAGAAAGACTTCAATTCAGACACTTCCAAGTTATCTACCAAATATTTAAAATAAAATCATTATTAGTCAATATAACAATAATCAAAAACTCATCACAAATGAATTAAACAGTTTTTAACAATAAATTATGTTGAAAATTTTCTCAGTATATTTACGATAACTTTGCTGAAAGTAAACACATACACATACATCTGCAGATTGAACTAAACCTAAAGTTATGAAATTTGACTCAATATTAGATTGTGGGCTTAACTACTTTTAAGGAAGTAGCGCTAAGTTACTAAAGTTATTAAAGTATTATATTAAAATAAAGACTCATCATAAACTTAAGTAAATACAAAGGAGAATTTATTTATTTTAAGAGAAAATTATTGTTTATGCTATTTGGCAGCTGCTTGTAATTTAATATATGATTAGCTATTTTTTAAATTTGCAATTAGTTACATATAACTAGAGGCATGGTGTACTAATAAGTAATATTATTAGTTAATAGGGGATTTTAGTGTTAAACTATAAACTATAAAAATATTTTAATTAAACATACAATAATTGGATGGTTAGACTGAATATTGAGAATACAGACTAGTTAACTCTTTCAGCATGGGCTCAGTCTCTGGGACCAACTTTGTAACCATTTTGTGCTTGTCATAGTTTTCATGCTACAAGTTTTTAAATTAGTAAGTGTATGTTCACAAAATCTGGCAGATAATCAGTAAACATTACAAAGATTTCATATGCAAGATATCAAATTATTTTTATTAAGTCTCAAGATTTGTTGAGCAATGTTTTTCACAAACATTTTTTCTTTCCACATGTTGCCTATCCAACATGACAAGCAATTTTCATTTTAAGATTAAAAATACTTTTATGCATCAGAAAACTTTCAAATTTCACATGCAAAATCTTTATAACATCCAGATGGTTATCAAACATTTCTAAAAAAAATTGTATATTTTATCTGTTATTTTCATTAATGAATCTCTGTATGGATTCAGCTGATTTGACCGATCTTGTAAGCACCATAAAAATTAGGAAACAAATATAAGTTATGCCTTTTTCATTCTAGAAAAACTACAGATAACACAAAAACACAAATGTTTACACTAAATAGTTTAAATTTCATAACATTATACATTTATATATATTTATTATTCTTATTATATTGACCTTTTAGCCATGCCTGGCTAACAATACAGAAGTTACAATGACGAGGCACACGTGCTCTCATGTTACCATATCCAATAATATAAAACTGACCTTTAGTCTTAACAAAGTGACCTGTCATGGCTGTGTTTTAATGGACTATTATTTTGTAAAATACTGCCACATTTCAATTATTATACATTATATATGTACATAGATTATTGCTATTTTGAAACAAGTTCTTAAACTTATTTTTCTTAAAACATAAAACAGTAAATAAAGAAGTAAAGCAAACAATTATCTCTTCTAGTTATGACGTGTGTACTTTGATGCTGCTTGTTAAAGGTTGCTAAGCCTTATAAAATTTTGCACATGGAGGATGTGAAACAAAATAATGTTTTTAAGGTTTTATACATATATATACTTGAAAGAACCAAAAAATCATAAATTACTATATCTACACCACAGAAGTCCACTATAATTCATCAAGCTCAGTAACTAAGCTGTACTTGGGTTTAAAAAAATATTAAATTTCGAGCAGACTAAAGACTCACCTTACCAACTTGAAGATTTGTATCGAAAGAATGTGATAACATCACAATACTTGAAAATGGCTGAGAAAACCACAAGATGGACATTCTGAGCATTCGATTGGTTATTCATGTCATAAATAGAAGTAAGTGTATATAAGGGAGCATTTCCAAAAATGGAAAAAGTTGAGTAAGGTCACTGTGTTTGATTAAATACATAAGTGATATCTCAGCAAATAGAAAAGATAGGAGGTTCATATTTTGTATTCTAGCTTGTTATTATCTGTAATTTGAGTTCCTAATTTGTACAAAACTACAGACTTTGTATATTGACATCACAAACATCTAATTTAAATCAGTGCTGCATTCAACATACCACTTGACACTCAAAAGTGTGTTTTTTGGAGTAGTTCAATAAAATTTTAAATGTGAGTCAACAAACACAATGGCATGGCCTTTGACCCATGTGGAAAGGGTTAACTCAAAGGATGAGAATAGGTCAAATAAAAAAAATTTTGAGGTTAATGACAAGCACAGCCAAGTCCAGATCAGCACCATATTCTGGAAAGAGGGTTGAAAATGGGGGTTGTTTTTTAAATAAAATCTAGTACATTTTAATTTGATATCAATATCTGTATTGTGTATCTACTTTATTTGTGCACAACTAATAGTAGAAAGAACATTCATTTTCCCAAAATGACGTTTACTTTTTACAATAACATTATTCTTTCAATCTGATGTTTCTTTCAGATAAGAAATATTCACTTAAAATAAATCTTTAATAACTCCATGCAACTTGTGTGCATTTTCATCACAAACTTCAAAAAGTATTTTCATTTTGAAATGAACAATTGTGCTACTAATTTGGTGCTGACCTATCAGATATCAGAGTACAGCCTGATTTAGAAACGGTTTGCTACTGATCAAGCAGATTTTCAGACTCCAGTGTTTTTTCTCAAACTTTTAACAAAGGTTTTCTGTGACACATGCAAGAGAAGTTCGTTATCAGCTCCAATGCCAAAGCTGATATATAGGAACTTCTGGTGAAGATGCTTTACTACATGGCAAGATTAGAAAGAAATGAAATTTTTATTCCTAATTTTCAGAAATGAAAAATAAGTCAAATTGCTCTATAGTAATCCTTGGAAATAAAATTTTAAAATTGCTTTAAAGCTTTATAATAAAGTATTTCTAAAGATTCTAAAACTTAGCTATCCACTATGCCTCATCAGCTCTGGATATGGCATGTGTGGTGGGGTTGATATTATAACATTCTCTTTTGCTTTCACTCACGAGTTTTTAAAATTACTTAATACATGTGTCAAAAAAATTTTTATTATTAATGTTTATCTACTTAATAGCTCTTATAATATTATAATTTATATTTTAATGATATTTTCATTCAATTTTCAAATTTATTCTAGTAGAACATAATTACAAGATCAACATTACATTTTTAGTTTTACCGTTTACACTAAAAGTAAAACTAAATGTACAGCAACTAATGAGAAAGGCAAGAATGTACAGTACAGTAAATAAAATTTTCAAAATCTTCTTAACACGTTACCGATCTCATGGTTGTCTTTAGGTTTGAACATTTGATAATAATGAAGAAGTTAAGCTACAGTACTACCTTATACAATTTTTAAAACCTGGTGATAACTAATAGTTATACTGTAATTTGTAAATTGTAAAATCTATAGCTAAAGAACGTTAGGCCTAAGGTTTGTCGGGCTAAACTTCAACTCAGCATACTTACCAAGGACAACCCGGAGATGTTTTAAGCGACTAATTGTGTCCTTTTTGGAATCCAACAGTTTCAAGGACGATTTTTTAACATCGACATGTTGCTTTTTACCAAACATTGTTTATATCTGCAAAACTCACTTCAAAAATTCCATTCTCATCCCTTGTTTTATTCAGTTTAAAAATAACACTAATTAGGTTTACACTGCAGTGCACTAACTTAATACAAGTTCTCCTCAACAGACGACAAGACACATCCCATACTCACGTGATTCAACACCCGCTGCGAGACACTACCATACTGACTCAGTGGTAGCAACGTAAATTCTCCTTTTGGTAATGATAATGTCAATGGTTAATAAACGCCCATATACTTTTGATCAATCGACTATTTTTCTATATCTTCTCGATAAATATTTAGCAACAGTAGAGAATTATATTATAATGAACATTATATACATATATAGTAACCGTAATATATTTGCATGCTTAAAATATCCTTTATGAATGATAAAAAAAAATCCTGTTTGTTTTGTTAGGTATCTGCTTGTTTGTTAATTTCTCGTAGAAATTCTTTCCGAGAAACTTCAGCGATACAAGTCCTTTCTTAATTAAAGCTAGTTTATTCTTTCTCGATGCAACTTTGCAATACACAGAATTTCCACAGTCAATACGTTTGCAATCTCGATAACAAAACACACACACACACGCACTTTATATTACCGTCACTACCGCTCGCTTAACTCAATTACCTGTCTCTATATCTATGTATCTCCGCTTTATTT